TTCTTTCTTTCTTTCTTTCTTTCTTTCTTTCTTTCTTTCTTTCTTTCTTTCTTTCTTTCTTTCTTTCTTAAGTAAACTTTCTCTTAGCCTAGATGAGCTCAAACCGGTAGGGTGATTGATTATTTATAAACAATCACACCTGGGGTCAGGACTAAGGACAGTTCTCTATCGCTCTAAAACTGGTAGGGTGATTATTTACAAACAATCACAGCTGGGTCAGGACTAAGGACAGTTCTCTGTCGCTCTAAAAGAGACAAGGCTATGATACTCTGCACCAACCTGCCCATGGCCTCGCCTCTGAGAAGGGGCTCCACTGGGGTGAAGTGGTGAAACGACATCTAAACCACAGAACTACTGAGTATCCCGACTGCAGCCCGTCCCAGTGTGGACATTTGACCCAGCCTGAGTAAATCAGGTTTCTTCATGGTAACCAGAAGCTACAACACTGAGAGCACAGAAAGCCATGGGCGACTCCAGGTGGAAAAGCCTACATACGTGGAGTCTTAGGTTATCAGCAGTCCATTCAGAAGCTTCACGGGACATAAGCAGGATGATGGTGACAAAGAAAATGCCACCTTCTGCCTCTACTCATGCAAGAAACGAAATCAAAACAGAAAATCTTCTATCCAAAACCCCCTGCAAGTGGGCTGGAGTGACCCCTGGTCTCACACAGGACAACATGAGAGCTCACGATTACCTGTCACTCTAGCTCCAGGGCATCTGACACCCTCTTCAGATCTCCCTGGGCACTACACACATGGAGTATTATACTCACACAGACACATAAACGCACTTTTAAAAACTGCAAGAACTTGGTAAGAAGGAGTCACCCTGATGAAGTCTGTGTGTGAGGAGAGGCTGCCAAGGGAGCCTTCTCCTCTGACCACAACTTAGTATGGCTGCGAAGCCAACAGGGTCTGTCTGCCCTGAAGAATGCAATTAATGAGCCAAAGGAAATGAGTCTGAAGAACCAGGCAGAGAGAAGAGAAGACATCCAGAGGAAAGCCGAGGCTGAGACCTGGGCAGCCTCCTAACTTCCTCGGCACTCCACCCCACCCTCAGTTCCCACCTGGGACTCTGGGAAGCTTCCAACTGGGGCTGCTGTCTAGTGACACTGTGGCACTACATTTGGCCTGATGTCAAACCCTCTGTCCCCAGTGCTTGGGCAAAGGCTGATTAATTGGCCTCTAACTTCTTTGGGAAAAGTTGATTTTCTTTTCTTTAAAAGATTGATTGATTGATTGATTGATTTTATGAGTCCACTGTCGCTGTCTTCAGACACCAGAAGAGGGCGTCCAATCCCATCACAGATGGCTGAGAGCCACCATGTGGTTGCTGGGAATTGAACTCAGGACCTCTGGTAGAGGAGTCAGTGCTCTTAACCACTGAGCCATCTCGCCAGCCCGAAAAGTTTCAATTACACTACTGGGTCTAGAGACATAGCCCTTAAACAAAACAGGCCAGTAAGTGTGCTATCCTAAGTTAGTAAGTCCTTTTAGAAGTTATTCACAGGTAACTGTGGTTTGGCTGAGGACTGTTGCTATTCCCTTACTAAGAGAACACATTAGCCTCCCAAAGACAGACAGAGGAGAAAGCTTCACAGGGCATGGTAAGCACCAGCCCAAAGGAGAACATTTTTTTGGGTAGGTGGCCCTCCCAAAGAGGACCAGAACCCACTAGAGGCTTCCCTGCAGCCAGCTCGGCCCCAGTAACCTTCTCTCGCCTTTTCACTAGTCTCTTCCCTTCTTTCTGATGCTTTGAATAGTGCGTGCAGACAGGAATTTAGTGATTTTGTTTTCATTGTTTCCTCCCAGCAAGATATGCAAGTTTCTGTTACTACTAAGGATGTATATTATAATTACTGGAGAGGGGTGACCTAGGGATTTATGCATGTATCCTAGCCAGAACTATGCAGCCAAGATGACCTCCAACTTCTCTTTTTTCCTGGTTGTTTATCTTTTCTTTTTGAGACAGGGTCTCTCTATGTAACCTTGACTAGGTGGAACTTGCTATGTACACTAGGCTGGACTTGACTTCACAGAGTTCTACCTACCTGTACCTCCTAAGTACTGGGATTAAAGAGAAAAAAATATATATACTTATCTATTTATTTGTGTATGTGTGGAGTACACAAAAGCCACGGTGTGAACTGAAAGTCAGCCTAGTCTATATAGTAAGTTCCAGGACAGCCAGAACAACACAGTGAAACCCTGTACCAAAAATAAATAAATAAATAAAATAAAATAAAATAAAATAAAATAAAATAAAATAAAATAAAAGGCCAGCCTGGCACGGTGGTGCATGCCTGCCACCCCAACAATCAGGAAGGTGAGCCAAGAGGATCAGAAGTTTGAGGCCAGCATGGACTACAGAACAAGACTATCTCAACGACAAGGACAAAAGAGTATCTCCATGTGGCCTAGTCCATCATCT